GTTTAATGAATTTATTTATAAAAATCAATTTGTAATTGAAATCAACATACACATAAAACTTATTGAATAAAATAAATACAAAAAACAAAATTATGTAAGGTTGCACATATTAAAAATATTACAAATTTTTTTAATTTTAAAAATAAATTTAATCTATATAAAATATTAAAAAATTATAGATGAATCACACTAACCTTATACAAAAATTAAACACACAATATAATAATAAAATAATCATTATTTCAAAAAGGCTAAGTAAGCCTAAAAAATTATAAATAATGGGTATTAACCAAAATATAAATAAAAAAATATTTTTATAAGTACATATAAAAAGAAATAATTTACAAAAAAATAGAAAAATAAGATCAAGCATTGATAGCTTGATAAGCCAGGCTTGATGCTTGGCCTAAAAAAAAGAGTGCCCAAAGGACAAGCAAGTGGTGTTTTCTCTGACGCCTAAAAAAACAATCAACAAAAAGAAAGAAAGGAGATAGTTTTGGGGAGCCACAATGTATGTTGGCAGAATTTTCAGATTTAATGTTGAATGAGTTGTCTCAAGATTTATGATACGATTAAAAAATTGATGTCTTCTCTCAAGTGCAAAAGTGTCAAAGTAATAAAGGAGGTTAATTGTATAAATTATAGATAACAACAATAACAACAACAATAGTAACAATAATAGTAGTAGTAGTAGTATTAGTAGTAGTGACACGACTAAAAGATTAACATCTTCTCCCAAATGCAGGAGTGTCGAAGTAATAAATAACCCGGCAAGACTAGGGTCGAACCATAGAGAGGTTAATTGTACAAATTATAAGCAACAATTATAAACAACAACAATAGTAATCACAACAACAACAATACTAATAGAAATAGTAGTCGTAGTAGTAGTAGTAATAAAGAAAGAGATGGAGAAGAAGAAAAAAAAGATGAGGACTTTGAGATAGAATATCAATGTAAGGATTAAACAATGATAATAACAAATATCAAGGTTAGAGGTTCCACTAATGGTATGTCAAACAAGTATAGTATAAACTCTTATTGTTCAATTGGAAACCACACACAAAGGAGGTTCCAATCGGATTATAGATTGTTAACATGATTACATTAGTCATCTTATTCAATTAATGCTAATACTTGTAAATTTCGTCAAGCATTCATGATTATAACTTATGTTAACAATAAATCAAGTTTCTTTCATAGATCAGGTGTCGGTTATACCATACAGTATGGGCTATGAAAGTGCCAAGCATTTGTTGTACCAAGTGTTATACAACATAAATCAAGATTAGTCATTTAACAAGCAAAGTATTAAAGAGTGAATAAGATAATAAATACAAAACATGTTAGTATCAAACATTAAAGTCCATATTAAGTTTAGACTATACTTATTCTTACACCATTAGTATAACCTTTTCACCTTGACATAATAAACTTATCTAGACATAATGAAAGAAAGAAAAATAGATAAACAAAATAAAAACATAAATAAGATAAAAGTTAACTAAGTAAAGGAAAGGAAATGAAAGGCAGAAACTTGATATTAATGAAAACAAAGCATGAGCAATACAAAAAAAATATAAGAGAGAAAGCAAGAGCATGATCTTGATCTGGACACCAAGATGCCTAAATGCATGGCAAATGCTTCCTTTTATAGGCTAAAATTGGGAACTATTTATTGATTTGATGACTAATTGATGAGTGAGTGACCAACTCTTAACTTGAT